ATGGAGAGAAACCCTACATTTTATGCATCTTTGAATTCCTGGTATCTAGCACAATGCATGATACAAACTAGGTCTTTATGAAGTGCCTGGTAAATTAGTAAATGTTCTCAAAAATATCCTTTACTGATCATCCATTAAGGACTGGTATCTTCCAAAGCTCAACCATTTATTTTCCAGTTGTTCCTATCATTTCAGATACGCATGCCCATATTATTGCTGCTAGTTGCTATCGAGTCACTCTAACACACAGCCAGCTATGCGTAACAGGATGGAATGTTGCTCAGTCGTGTGCCATCTTCACAATCGTTGGTATGTTTGATTCCATTGTTACAGTTACTATGCCCGTATTAGCCATACTGAATATAAATGAACAGAATATTACCATTAACTTTTCAAGTTAATTATAACAAAACAAATCATTACCAAAAAAAATCCAGCAATCATACATAGCAACCATGTACAAGACAAACTGCAAACAGGGAAGAAATGAAAAAAAGGACAGAAAATAACAAATTTGATGGAGAGATACACCATGTTTCCATAAAAGAAGATTCAATATTGTAAACAGATCAATTTGTTCCCAAAATAATATTTAGTTATAATTCCAGTCTAATGAAAATTCCATTTTTGTTAGCCCTAATGTTCATCTGCAAAAATACATACATAATGACGTTTGTCCTACCATGTACTAAAATGTATTATAGCTATATTAGTTTAAAATAGTGTGGTGCTAGGAAAAGAATAGACAGACATATCAAAGGAGCAGGAAAAAAATCCAAAAACATACTCAGGTATGCCCAATAATCTAGCAATGATTCAAACAGTATTTCAAGTCATTCTGGAAAAAAACAGATTATTCAGTAGTAGTGTTGAAAAATTTCACTAACCATGTGGGAGGGGAAAAAAGGCCCATATACCTTACATATTCTAAAATTAATTCCAGATGGGCAAAAGATTTATAAGAAGCCCTCGTGGCACAATGGTTAAGCACTCGGCTACTAACTGAAAGGTGGACAGTTCGAACCCACCAGCCACTCCATGGAAGAAAGATGTGGCAATCTGCTTCCGTAAAGATTACAGCCTTGGAAACCCTATGGGGCAGTTCTACTCTGTCCTATAGGGTCGCTATGAGTTGGAATCAACTCGATGGTAACAGGTTTGGTTTGGTTTAAAAGATTCGTATCTCATTCTTCATTCCACCCTCTCTCATTTCCTGCCTTTTTGAATACTTTGAAGTTATTAGGTGGGGCCAAGCAAGGTAAGCGTCCATGTTGGGGTGGTGGTGGTGGGGAATCCAATACAAGTGTCAGAGTCCAAGTAGAGCTGGCTCCCATGAAAGGGTTGTGGGTAAGGGTGGGGTCAGAGTAAGGTAAGGAGATCAACCATCGAGGTGGGAAGTAGCGGAGGACTGAAGTTTAGTGTCAAATCCTTAAAAGGGTCAATAGGGCATCCATGAAAAGAAGTACCAATAACTCAGAGTGGGGTGTGGAGCCTGAATGAAGTAAGGATGACATCTGCACTGGGGGTGATAGCAGGAGATGTGTTAAATACAGGAGGGATGGATCAAATAAGTAAATATACTGAGGATAATGGGAGTCAGGTTTCTCACTGTCTGAGATGAGTCATAAATATGGAAAGGAAAAAACTAAAATGAACCCTGTGTTGTTTGAATAGATTTAGAGAAATCACAAGGAACTTTTAGCTTTCAATATACGGGTAACTATAGAAATAAACGTGTGTACATGTATCTATAGTAGAAGCCCTGGTGGCACAACGGTTAAAACCTTGGCTGCTAACCAGGTCAGCAGTTCGAATCCACCAGCCACTCCTTGAAAACCCTATGGGGCAATTCTACTCTGTCCTATACAGTCGCTATGAGTTGGAGTCAACTCATTGGCAGCGGGTATATGTATCTATGCATATCCAATCAGGTATCATTGTTTTCTCAGTTTACTATATATAGAGATACAGAAAAAATACAGATGTGAATGTGTACACATTTATATCTCTGCATGTATATACACATACATGTTTCCTAACTATGCCCACTCAGTGGGCCTGGAAGTAGCAGTAACTAATAATACCATTTTCCACTAAAAGGAACCAGGGATCCTTGGAGAGTTGGTGATTCCAGGACTAGAGAAGGAAAGGTACAAGATAAGCCTGGAACACACTGTTGTGTCAGAAGTAAGGAGTGCCTACAGAATGACAGAGATGTCAAAAGTCACAGAAGTCAGTTTGAAGAGGTTCTACTAGCCCAACATGAGACAATTTGAGCATCAGAATGAACGACAGTAATGAAGTATGATCCACTAAAATAACAGTATCCATACGTCCATACTAACATAAATAATTGGAGAGTAGAAAAAGCTTTTTCCTTACAGCAAATTGCCAACTGATGAATGAAAAAGAAATGATAGAATTAGAAAAGCACCACTTGTCATCAACCATAGTAATAAATTAGTTAGTAATCTATTAATTCAGCTAAGAAACATCAACGGATACTAAAATTAGTGGATAAAGGTCTAATGAGGGACAGGATATTTACATACGAAGTACTTCTCAAAAAAATGCTTATTTGATTGTGAAGGGAAAAAAGATGAACCTCACAGTGAAGGAACCTGAAAGACACCACCCAAACCAATCAGGTACTGACAATGATCAAGGCAGGTATAACATCACCATAACGGTAAAAACTGAAATCACGTACCTGCTGAAAACATATAATCTAATCATGAGAAAACATCAGACAAATCAAAACTTAGGGGCATTTTATGAAATAAATGGCCTATCATCTTCACAACTATTAAAGTTATAAAAATCAAGGAATGATTAAGTTAACATTTGAGATTAAAAGAGACAATGCAATCTGTGATCTTTTTGCTATGAGAGACATTACGGGGAAAATTGAGGAAACATTCAAAGAGGTCTGTGGATTAAATGGAAATTATTTATGTCAATTTCCTGATTTTGGTGTCTGTATTCTGGTTATACAGGAGAATGTTCTCCTTTATATTCATGGGTAACAAGATATTATATTGGCAAATTACCCTCAAATGGCTTGGTGGTGGAAGAGCTCTTTGTACTATTTCTGAAACCTTTCTGGAAACTGTCTCAAAATTAAAAGTAAAAACAAGTACTGTTTTTTTAATGAACTCTGAAAGTACTAAGACAATGTATACACATCAGGACAGAGGAAGATTTTTTATATATGATATCAAAGGCAGAAACAATAAAGATAAAATCATGTAAATTACATAGAAAATTTTAAACTTCTACACTAGAAGAAATTAACCTGCCAGAATACCAACAAAAAGAAAACCACGGAGACACAATGAAAGTTAAAAAACAAATGTTAAATTATGGAGGAAAAACATATACAACAAGTACACACAGAACAAAAGAATAATACTTATAATACTAAAAAAAAAAAAAAACCAAAGAGAAAAGAAACCATTACAATATTAAAACTAACAAAAGAATATGCAAGGTCAATTAATAAAAATAATCTTCTGGGGGAAAGAAACTTAAATATATTTAACTTTACCAGACACTAATATTTTTTCACTAAAATACCAAGTTTTTTTTTTTTTAACAGTAATACACAGTTCACTTAACAAGATATAAGATAATGAGCAATCTCACTCAATACATTATTGAAGCTTTCAAAATGTTCATAAGTTTTTGCACAGAAATTTTATCAGCTTGTACTACATGCCAGACGCCAAGCTAGGCACTTCTACAATAAGCGGTTGTTTGATTAAATTACGGAACTCTGGTGGCACAGTGGTTAAGAGCTCAGCTGCAATAACAACAGGTTTGGTTTTTTGGTTTAAATATATTATAGTTCACTCATACTAGTAACACTATGTATTATATACTATATATCCACTAAAAATACTGGCAAAAATATAACTTGACAAAAAAAGATGTCCAAGTTTAGAAAGTTTTAAAAACAGATAAAACCGTATAAGTAATATGATGCAAGTTTTTTAAATTTATATACCTATATACAAAAATTCACCAAAAAAATCTGGAATGGCCTGAATGATATAAGATGATTTTTGTCATGTACTTTTTTTTTGTATTTTCAAATTTTTAAATAATAATCTGTACATAAAAAAGGTTTTTTTAACACAAATATATTTGAAGCCTTAAAATTGGCTGCAATAACACTTTCTTCTACATGTGGAGTAAATCAAAAGTTACCTTCAAATGAAATGGTGACTATATTAAAATGGGGAGCCCTGGTGGTACAGTGGTTAAGAGCTACAGTGAGCTACGGCTGCTAACCAAAAGGTCGGCATTTCGAATCCACCAGCCACTATTTGGAAACCCTATGGGACAGTTCTACTCTGTTCTATACAGTCACTATGAGTCGGAATCAACTCAACTGCAACAGGTTCTATTAAACGGCACACTGGAGAATAGAAAAATACTGTAATATGCTGAAGAGAATAAAACCGTAATATAAATTTACTAAATAAAGGCAAACACAGAAAGGAAAAAGCTCAAATATTAACTATGAATTTAAAAAACGTCAACAAAAATCATGTCTTGGGGTTGAAAATAACATTTCTTTTGTAAATAACATTCTGATACGGTATTATTTTTCAAGAAAGAATGTTAATTTCTTAACTATTACACTAAATAATAATTAAAATTTAATAAAACCTTAATACTTAAAAGAGCAAAGAAGGCTTGCAATACTTAAAGGATAAATTCATAACAATTAAAATATCCTGTAAATATTAGAATACCAAATTCCTAGACTGGTAGAAAAGACAATAGAAATTTGTTTGTTTCATTCTTTGTTTTGCAGTCATGTGACCTTAGTCATAACATTTTAATAAATGTAGTTTACCAGAGTAATAATATTGTTTTGCAAACCTGTAAGTTCATTATTCAATGGTAACCTATAATTTTTTAAAAAATTCCTTTATACTTCCCAGTTTTAAAAAAAGTATATTCAAACAATAATAAAATAATATTCACTCTACCTTATTATAACGATCATGTGGAACAGACTGTAAAACAATTGGTTCCATTGTAGAAACATTGGCAAATTGAACCTCTGGAATATACAGGGCACAAACCACATGAGCCCAACCTAAAAATAAATTAAGAATAACATCATTTAGTTTTCAATAAAGCTTTTTCTAAGAAAAATAAAACCATTAACTTTCTCAGGAGATCCTTCAAATGCCTATTTAAGCATATGCACAACAAACGAACTAACAAATTCCCATAACTGACTTTTACTTCTACTACGTCAGAAGAGTCAAACCACTACTGACAAAGTGTTCTTAATAATCTCTCCAATTACTACACACAGTAGCATAAATAAAGGGAAATAGTTCTAAATTCATATGCCAAGACTCACTGTTCTTATTTAATACCAGAGTAAATAATTCAAACCAACTACTTCCGAGAACCTATACAGTTTAATACTTAAGGTGTGTCTGGACACTCTTAACACACTTAAATGTCAGTATTAAATTTCTAACCTTTACTTCTATGTTAATATTTTAAACAAATTTTAAGATTAATCATTTTACTATTTTAATTTTTTACTTAAAATCATTTAAGAATAAAAATTAATTTTATTACTTCTTTTAATTTGTAAAATGTGACTGAAGGTATCAAAGACTGGATGCGGTAGTGAAGAATTACTTGGCCCAAACTGGAAAAGGATGCAAGTCCAGGGTAACTAGGTACAGTTTTCAGCCACTTTTGCCCAGTAGACATCTGCTCATTCTAGAGGAAGCAGCTAAGAAGGTGAAGGGTACTTTTGACAGCCTCAGAAGGCTAGTGTTACAGATATGGGAGTCCATACACAATCAAGGAAGAAGGAAAACTCATCCCCCTTTCCAATCCACCCCCCTCCCCTTAAACTGTAACACCAAAGGGCTGTAAGATTAAGAGTAAACTAAAAATACATAGGCCCTCATCAGTTTCATCAAGGCACCTGGGCTTTGATCGTTTCATCTGAAATGTGACTAATGGAATCCTAAATTACAAGTGCCCTTAGGCAACGGACAAAAGTAAATGTACACCCTCTCTAGAGAATAAGAGTATTATCTTGAGCTACTAATAATTTCTATAATTTGAAATGATAATTTTCAGCATAATGAAAAATAGCAAGCACATGAAAAACAACACAACATGAAGAAAACCTGCAAAAATAAGATGAAAACAGTTCTATATACTGTTATATGCTGGAGTTATCAAATGTTGTTGTTGGGTGCCATCGAGTTGATTCTGACTCACAGCAACCCCATGTGACACAGCAGAACTGCCCTGTAAGGTTTTCTAGGCTGTAATCTTTATGGGAACAGAGATGATTAGGGTCTTTCTCCTGCAGAACCACGGAGTGGGTTTGAACCACCAACCTTTTGTTTAGCAACTTAGTGCTTAACAATTGCATCACCAGGGCTCCTTGGAGATAAAAACAGACATTAAAGTAACTATGGTTATTATATTCAAATACATACAAAATTGAAAATTTCTGCAAAGCACTAGAAACTATACTAGTAAGTCAAACAAAAATTCCAGAACTGAGACAACGGAATTAAGAAATCAATGAGTGAGGTTAGCAATGGGTTAGCATGAATGAAAAGGTAACTACCGAGCAGCTATACAGGTCAGAAGAATATACTCAGACTGTAAAACAAAAGACCAAAAAAAGAAAAATACAAAAAGAGGCAGGACACATGATGAATACAGTAAACAGGTCTAACACACATGTAATTAGAGTCCCAGAGGAATATAAGAGAGAAAATGGCACAAAAAAAACACTTGAACTGGTAATACCTAAAAACTTTCCAGAACTGATGAACGACAAAAAGTCAAAGAATAAAGAAATACTATAAACACCAGGAGAAATAAAAATAAATCCACACCAAGACATACTAGTAAAACTACACAAAGCTAAGGAAACAGATTAAGATCCTTAAAATAACCAAACGGCAAGTTCCAGAACAACTAGGCAAATAAAAGAAGAAAATATCCTTAATAAGATTCGCATTAAAGAGAACACCAAAGGATGTCCCTCAGGTAGAGAAAAAATTATACCGGGAATAAAATCAAAGACGAACAAAAAAATGAAAAACGATAAACGTGTGTAACAGATATTGGCTGTATAAAAAGTTATAATTGAGGATAACCATATAACCCCACAATTCTACCCCAAGGTTTATACCAAAAAAAAAAAAAAATTATAACAAGGACACAAGAAGACTTGTAAGTGAATGTTCACAGCAGCATTATTCACAATAGCCAAAAGGTATAAACAAGTCCATCCAGGGGTAGAGCTGTACAGTAGTAGAGTTTTTTCTATACTATTGAAGCTCAGCTGGTATCAATTCATAGTAGGTTGTTATAAATTTAGGATGTTAATGCAATCACCATGGAAACCACTGTGGCGCAATGGATCACTTGTGTGTGGCTTTTCTCGCCATGGTCTTGTAACCCCCCAAATGATTGGGTGGGACTGCACAAATAAAGTAATTGTGGCTCACCGAGGGGACTGGTTAGTTTTGTCATCTGCTAGGCTTAAAATGAGCCATTGCACAAGGGGGAAGAAGATGATCTCACCACTACCAAGGAAGAAGAGCCAAGAGCAGAGCACATCCTTTGGAGCTGGGATCCCTGCACTGAGAAACTCCTGAAACAGGGAAATCGAGAGAGAGAAAGAGAGAGAGAGAGCATGCTGTAACACCGAAGACAGGGAGCAGAGTGCCTTTGGGCACTTATCCGCAGAGCTAAAAAAGCTTTGTAACACTTGCCAGAACATGGTAGAAGCTGAGGGCCAGAGAGCTGTACCTGCGGGCACAGCTGAAAAGAAGCTGTCTTGATGGAAGAACTTTATCCTTAGAGTTTCTGAACCTGAACTGTAACCTGTGACTTCCCTAATAAACCCCATGAACATACGTATTGTCTGCGAGCTCTGTGTGGCCGCTGCAATAAAGTATTGAACCCAGCTGAGAAGTAGAGTACCATGGGAGGGATGGTTGGTGTCAGAATCGGTAAAAATGGCAGAGAGAGGAAGCATGTCCGACCTCTGCCTCACAGGTATCAGCCTTGGGTTGTTGATCTTGATTCTCCTTCCACCTTATGAAGTTAGAGGAGGTCAGAAACCACAGCCACATCATTCTTAAAACTCCCAAGAAAATATCTAAAATATATACATGAAAAAAAATGAGAAGGCAATCAAGACGGTGCACTACAAAAAAATCAAACTCAAAAGAAAGCAATGGTGGAGGAAAAAAATAAACAAAAAAATATAAAACATACAGAAAACAAATAGTTAACTAGCAAGAGTGAGTACTTCTTTATCAGTAATTCCATTCAAAGTAAATAGATTAAACTCTCCAATTAGAAGACAGAGATATGCAGAATGGAGATATATATAATGTTTAATGTCCATTGCCATCGAGTAGATTCTAACTTCTACTAACCCTACAGGACAGGGTAGAACTGCCCCAAGGGGTTTCCGAGGTTGTAATCTTTACAGAAGCAGGCTGCCACATCTTTCTCACTGGGAGCAGCCAGTGGGTTCGAACCACCGACCTTTCAGTTAGCAGCCGAGTGCTTCATCATTGCACAACCAGAGCTCCACCACTCAACAATCAGTTTGTCGTACTGTGGTGGCTTGTGTCTTGCTGTGATGCTGGAAGCTATGCCACCAGTATTTCAAATACCAGCAAGGTCACCGTTGGTGGACAGGTTTCAGCGTAGCTTCCAGACTAAGACAGACCAGGAAGAAGGATCTGGCGATCGACTTCTAAAAAACTACAGTGAAAACCCTATGAATAGCAGCAGAACATTGTCTGATACAGTGCTGGAAGACGAGTCCCTAAGATTGGAAGGCACTCAGAATATGATTGGGGAAGAGATGCCTTCACAAAGTAAAATCAACTTTAAAATGTGGATGGAGTAAAGATGTCAGGACCAGCATTTGCTGAGGTGGCAAAATTCAAAATGAGAAAAGCTGCAAATATTCATTCATAATCGGAAAGTCGAATGTATGAAATATGAATCTAAGAAAATTGGAAGTCATCAAAAATGAAATGGAATGCATAAAGATCGATATCCTAGGCATTAGTGAGATGAAATGGACTGGTATTAGCCATTTGAATCGGGCAACCATATGGTCTATTATGCCGGGAATTACAAATCGAAGAGTAAGACAGTACACAATACAGGGGATGTCACCACAACGTGACCAAGTCAGGGTCATGGAAGTTTCATAGACACATCAAAACTCCCTGAGGGACGGAATTACTGGGCTGAGGGATGGAGACCATGGTGTTGGGGGACATCTAGCTCAATTGGTATACACAGTTTATACAGAAAATGTTCTATATCCTACTTTAGTAAGTAGCGTCTGGGGTCTTAAAAGCTTGTGAGCAGTCATCTAAGATATTCCACTGGTCCCACCACATCTGAAGGAAAAAAGAATGAAGAAAATCATAGACACAAGGGAAACATTAGTCCAAAGGACTAATGGACCACAACTACCACAGCCTCCACCAGACTGAGTCCAGCACAACTAGATGGTGCCTGGATACCACCATCGACCCCTCTGACAGGGATCATAATAGAGGGTGCTGGAGAGAGCTAGAGACAAATACAGAAAAAAATTCTAACTCACAAAAAAAGACCAGACTTACTGGTCTGGCAGAGACTGGGGAAACCCCAGGAGTATGGCCCCCAGACACCCTTTTAACTCAGTACTGAAGTCACTCGTGAGGGCCATCCTTCAGCCAAAGATTAGACAGGCACATAAAACAAAATGACACTAAATGGGCACACCAGCCCAGGGGCAAGGACAAGAACGCAGGAGGGGGCAGTAAAGCTGGTAATGGGGAACCTAAGGTTGATAAGGGCAGAGTGTTGACACGTCATGGGGTTGGCAACCAACGTCACAAAACAATATGTGTATTAATTGTTCAATGAGAAACTAACTTGCTCTGTAAACTTTCATCTAAAGCACAATTTTTTAAAACGACAGATTAAAAAAAATTAAACAGAACGCATAAAGATCGATATCCTAGGAATTAGTGGACTGACATAGAGCTGTACTGGCCATTTTGACAATGAGAAAAT